CGTGTGCCCCTGCCACCAGGTCACTGAGGTCCCTGTGTCCCCAACGCCAGGGTGGGTTCTCCAGCGGCTTGGCTCCCAAACCTGTCCAGGTCCTATACGGCCACGACGCTGAGGTGACATGCGTGGCCATCAGCACCGAGCTGGACATGGCGGTGTCGGGGTCCAAGGTGAGCTGGGGTGGTGGGGTGGGCGGCAGAGTTGGGAGTGCCACCATCATCACCCTGTGTCTCCTTCCTCCCGTAGGATGGCACCATCATCATCCACACCATCCGCCGGGGTCTCTTCATCCGGTCCCTGCGGCCGCCCGGCGAGAGCTCTCCACCCGCTGTCCTCTCCCACCTGGCCGTGGGGCTGGAAGGGCTGGTGGCCGCCCAGACCACCGTGGGTCAGCGAGCCTGCTCCAAGGTATGGCCAGGTGTCCCCGTGTCCCCCTCCTCGTCACCGTCAGCGTGTGTGTCCCCCCGCTTTTTGCCTTTCAGGAGAGGTTTGCGCTGCACCTCTACTCGGTGAACGGGAAGCACCTCTCCTCCGTCCCCCTGGACGAGGAGGTGACGGCCATGTGCCTGACGGAGGAGTTCGTGGTGCTGGGGACCACGCAGTGCGGGCTGGAGATCCGTGACCTCCAGAGGTGAGGGCTTCCACCTGCCTCGTCCCACCCCAGCCACCCGCTTGGGGTGCCCGGGGGGCTTGAGGGGTCCCATCCCACCACTGGTCTTCTCGCAGCCTCAGGGCGGCCATGTCCCCCGTGCCCATGCGGGTGCCCGTCCACAGCGTGTCCATCACCAAGGAGAAGAGTCACATCTTGGTGGGGTTGGAGGATGGCAAGCTCATCGTGGTGGGGGCTGGGCAGCCCGCTGAGGTGAGCTGGAGATGGGGAAGGGGGTGGTGGGCGGATGGTGGTTGGGAAAGGGTTGGGAAAAGGGTGGGGGTGCGGATGGGGAAGGGAGTGGTGATGGGAGAAGGGATGGGGATGGGTGTGGGTGGAGAAAAGGCTGGGGTTTGGCATGGGGTGGGGATGATGGTGGGGAAGGGGCTGGGGATGAAGGGTGTTTGGAAGGGGACGGGAATGGAGATGGGGATGAGATAGGGATATGTAAGGGAATGGGGATGGAGAAGGAGATGGACATTCGGAAGATGTGGATCTGGGAAGGGGATGGAGATGGAGAAGGGGGTGAGGAGCGGGGATGGAGAACGGATGGGGAAGGAAGGGAATAACCATGGGGATGGAGAAGCAGATGGGGATCTGGAAGGTGATGCAGATGGACAAGGGGGTGAGGATCAGGGTGGGGATGGAGGAGATGGAGAAGGGGATGAGGATCTGGAAGGGGTTGGGAATAAAGAGTGGGATGAGGATGGAGATGGAGAAGGGGATGAGGATATGGAAGGGGATGGGGATGGAGAAGAGGATGAAGATGGAGAAGGGGATGGAGAGGGTTGAAGAAGGGAATAAGGATGGGGATACAGAAACGGGTGGGGATTTGGAAAGTGAGGGGGATGAAGAGGATGAGGATCTGGAAGGGGATGGGGATGGAGAAGAGGATGAGGATCTGGAAGGGAGTGGGAATAAAAAGTGGGATGAGGATGGGGATGGAGTAGTGGATGAAGATTTGGAAGGAGATGAGGATCTGGAAGGGGATGGGAATGAAGAGTGGGTTGAGGATGGTGATGGAGAAGGGGGTGAGGATCTGGAAGGGGATGGGGATGGAGAAGAGGATGAGGATCTGGAAGGGGATGGGCATGAAGAGTGGGATGACGTTGGAGGTGGAGAAGGGGATGGAGCTTTGGAAGGGGAGGAGGATCTGGAGGGGGATGGGCAAGGAGAAGAGGATGAGCGTGGTGATGGAGAAGGGTTGAAGAAGGGAACAAGGCTGGGGATCTGGAAGCCGATCAGGATGGAGGAGAGGATGAGGATCTGGAAGGGGACGGGAAGGAAGAGTGGGATGAGGATGGGGATGGAGAAACGGATGGGGATCTGGAAGGGGAACAAGGCTGGGGATCTGGAAGCCGATCAGGATGGAGGAGAGGATGAGGATCTGGAAGGGGACGGGAAGGAAGAGTGGGATGAGGATGGGGATGGAGAAACGGATGGAGATCTGGAAGGGTATGGGGATGGAGAACAGGATGAAGATGGAGAAGGGGATGGGGTTGGAGAAGGGGATGAAGATTTGGAAGATGAGGATCTGGAAGGGGATGGGAATGAAGAGTGGGATGAGGATGGGGATGGAGAAACGGATGGAGATCTGGAAGGGTGTGGGGATGGAGAACAGGATGAAGATGGAGAAGGGGATGGGGATGGAGAAGGGGATGCAGGTGAGATGAGTAGGGGGCTGGTCTTCTGGCAGGGGTCAGGGCTGGGGACATGGGGTGGGCGCTCATTGTCCCCTCACCCAGGTCCGACCCGGCCAGTTCCACCGGCGGCTGTGGCGTTCCACGCGACGCATCTCCCAGGTCTCGGCCGGCGAGACGGAGTACAACCCCGCCGAGGGCAGGACCTAGCTGGGAACCCACCACCCAACAC